TTTGTATCTAGGTTAAATTATCTTTTCTTATTCAATTGCATTATGAAGAATCAATAAAACCCTTGCCTCATTTGCTTTTTCTTTATTTTCTTTGGATTGTTTAACATTTTCAATTACAAAAAGAGGGTAAACTGGTCCATTACATCTCAACGGCACTTTTGATTTTATCTCATTCTGACAAATGTATTGACACTTTTTAAATATGCTTGTTCCTCTAGCAAAATGTGATAGGATCCAAAATTCTCATTAAAATGAGTACAAACACAGGCATAATTTGGAGTGCCAACAACCTGGGCAGGAGAAGCAATACAAGGATTAACTTTTGAAACTCAAATTCAAGAGATTTTTTTTTACACAAAGTTGTTGCTGAACTCTTACACTTATGTCCTAAAGATAAATTTAGTCAATTATATTTAGTTCTTAAACACAATTTCGGTCATTCTCTTTAATTCATTTAAATTCCTAAATTCTATTATCATTGACTAAAGTAAAACGAATCAATAAAAAATGCAAGGAAAAATGGCATCTTTTCGTACTTCATCCATTAATTATTATTAACATCGCTAGGGAAAATGATAGTTAATGAGTATGCTAAGCATTCACTTACTGAAGAAGTGGAATCACTTACTGAAGAGTGGAGCACCTATGAAAATGATGGATGTACAGGAAATGGAGAGGATGTTTAATAGGAGTAACTATGGGGTGGTGGGACAATTGTACTACACCAGTGAAGAGGATGATGAAGAGATACCTAGCAAGAATCCTTGAAGTGATCCATCAATTTCCAAGGGTGTTTGAAGAACCAAAGGGACTAGACCATTATATCCCTTTAAAAGAAGGATCCCAACCATTCAAAATTAGACACTATAGGTGTCCCTTCATCCAGAAAATATAGATAGGAAAATTTATCAAGGAGATACTACAGACTGGGATCATTCAAGCAAGTAACGGTTCCTTTGCATCCCCGGTCCTCCTAGTCAAGAAAAAAGATGGCTCCTGGAAGTTCTATGTAGACTACCAACAATTGAATAACTTAACCATCAAAGATAAGTTTCCAATGTCACTCATTGACGAACTCTTGGGTGAACTCCATGGGGCAAAATTCTTTTCAAAGATTGACCTCAGGGCAGGTTACCACCAAATTAGAGTTACTAAGGAAGATGTGCCTAAGACAGCATTTAAAACTCACCAAAGGCTGTATGAGTTTAAAGTAATGCCCTTTGGCCTTACCAACGTACTTGCTACTTTTCAAAGTCTTATGAATGAGGTGTTCAAGGACCAGTTGAGGAGGTGTGGGCTAGTGTTTTTTGATGATATCTTAGTGTATCACACTAACTTGGATTCTCATTGCCAACACTTGGAATCAGTAATGGGGATATTACTGAGGCATCAATTGTATGCTAAGAGATCCAAATGCAGTTCTGGACAATCATAGATTGAGTGCTTAGGTCACAACATCAGCCATGAGGGAGTTTCAGCTGATCCTAGTAAGGTGGAAGCCATGCAGCTATGGCCTAGACCTAAGACCATCAAACAATTCAGAGGCCTCTTAGGATTGACTGAATATTACAGAAATTTTGTTAGAAATTATGGGATGATAGACAAACCATTAACTGATTTGCTTAAAAAGGACGACTTCCAGTGGAACATGGAGGCAGATTCCACCTTTGATCAATTGAAGCAGGCCATGAGTTCAAACCCTGTCCTTGCTCTACCTGATTTCCATAAACCATTAGTTATTGAAACTGATGCTTGCCAATGAAGAATTGGGGCTGTGTTGATGCAGGATAGGAGACCCCTAGCTTACCTAAGCAAAGCAATTGGAGTAAGGAATTTGGGCATGTCCATCTATGAAAATGAGCTATTGACATTGGTTACAGCTGTGGGCAAGTGGAGGCATTATTTGGAAGGC